GCCTTGGCTGGTTTTAGTGCTAAAGAAACCTTTGATAAACCTGTCATCTGGAATATACAGTATATGGATCCAAGACAAGCCAGGAAAAATGCTGATCAGTTCAAGCCTCTTAACGGAAATGGGAAGGACATCCATCTCTTGTCAAAACTACACCCTATAAAAGATAAGTGAGACTTCGGTCGTTTGTACCTGTCAAAATATAATGAGCTGTAATAACAATTAATGGGAGATCTCTATAATCGTAAAACCAATGGCTACCAAAGAGGACAGCTATTGCGGAGGCTGGTGATTAGCGTTAGTGCCATATTGGGCAACCTGCAGGGGCAGACCCTGGAAGAAGAAATTCAGAAACAATCACCAAAATAACTAATCCAATGGGAGAAGCAATCCATTACGAAGTAACCAAGAGAACTCCTATAAGGCCAACTTGCAAGAATGGTTAAAAATGAGGCAATGGAAGGCTATATGCCACCCAATTATATAACCTATTGAATCACTTGAATGTCAAGATCATGACTGGAGATTTGCGCCATCCAAGTTTCGACTAGCCTGCAGAGGACCCAAACACAGCAGGGATCATCCATAGAACCTACGATCATCAAGCGGTAAACAAGACCTTCTAAGGAACACACAACATAACCCCTTGAAAATTAACAATAAGAAGTCCATAGTGGCCTTTTGGAACACTATAGTTCCAGGCAAAGCAGGACAACTGATGAAAATGGTATAACTAATGTGGTAAAATTGGCGAACTTAGGCTAGAATAGGTAGTTAAAAATAAGGTTATACGAATTGCTCATGTAATCCAAAAATGTACTACTGATTTCTCAATAAAAGATTCGTCCTGTCAGTTGGACTAGTTAAAAAAAAAAATCTACAAAACTTTTATATCCATCCAAATTCACTGGTATATACACAGATAATTTTGATCACATTCAATGAATATTTGCAATTAAACTTTAAAACTCTAAACTTCCCACTATAAATAAGTTACACAAAAGAAAACTTGAAATATACACAACAACTCAATGCTTTGCATACCTTGCAACAGAAGATAATATACATTCCTTTTAATATCCACATAATGGAATTGACCTCAATAAAATAATTATTTCAAAAATATATCATAAGATTACAGCAAGAACAGAAAAAGAAAGTTTATATATGGTAAAAGAGAAAATCTTTAATTATTTTCAAGAATCAAATTTATGGAACCTCCTGATCAAAGGAGCCATTAGTAAAAAAATAATAAGTATTATTAGTAGCTTTATAAACCCTGACAAGATCATAGAGATCATCCAAAGTTGCATCAATAATATTTGTTTTATTATATATAACATCTGAAGAGATATGTATAAATGTCTACAAACATAGAAAAAGATACAATGCATTATAAACAAAATAAAAAAGTTTAAGAAAGTGAAGAGAAAGTAAACTCAATCTTATACCCAAGAGCAAACAATAACACAAGTATTGCAGATTAACATTGACATAGTGAAAAATATTATTAAGGGTTTACAAAATATACAATACTTTCAACATACATTTTAACAGGACCTAGGTACATTAGTATCCTATCAAAGAATAATATGCTACAATGGATATAGTATCAATTGATTTTATTGTTTTGCTAAGCATAGAAAAAGTCTACAAAATTATTCTGTAAACAAGAGTAAATGTACTACATATAATCAATAAAATAAACAAAGTTGTGTGTGATTTAAAAAAAAAATTAAAAATAATTATATAAAAATTTAATATTATAGTAAATTTTATTAAATTGCTTTTAAGAAATTTACCTAAGCTATCTAATGAAAGCATAAATTTATACCTAAAAGTCAGATGACAAGTGCTTAAATAGTCTTAGGAAACTATAGATATTTTGATAAAACAAATATTTTTTATTAAGGTTGAAAGATATTATCAAATAGGATTTTAAGATAATCAAGTATTTAAATCTCTAGCTATAAAATATCAATGATTTACAAGAATACATGATATTTCAGATTACATGATCTGACTACAATCTTGAAGCTTCAAGGTGATATAAGACTTGAATGACTAATAGTATATAGTGTTAACCTTAATTAATTTTTTTTATTAATGCTGACTCAGCCTTACTTTATTTGAAATATGGTAGTTATATATATATAATACTATAGCTACTTATGCTTATCAAATATAGTTCAATAAAGAAGCAGTCTTGTGATTGTACTTATCCTATGGCTTGTTGTCATCTCATTTTAAAGGATGTTAACTTGTCAAGGCTATACTAGTGCTATATAGAAATTCCAGGATAATGCAAGATGTTATCATATTTTGAATAGTTTTGTTTATATATCAGAGATTTTATTTCTTTTTATTAGAATGTCATTAATCTCTTTGTCTGTTAGTTCTTTTTTAGAGAAAATGGCTCTAATGGTTTTTGTTTCTAAGAGGGTCATTCATAATATTTATGGATTTGTCTGGAGATAACTATGTCACTTGATATATGTCTTGACTCTTGTTTTTGTTTTGATCTTGTAGATATGTATATTTCATATCCTACCATATCTTTTGAGATATTCTTTTATAAGGTGTTATAAAGTTTTGTATATTATATCTATTAGGCTAACATGTCATATATTCTCTTTCTTTTTCTCTATTCTTGATTAAAAGATCTTCTTATTAAAATATCTTTATATTTTGTATTAGTTTAGTACCCTTGTTTTCAAGTTGTAATAAACTAAAAGCTTTTTCCTTTCTGTTTATCTCTTCTAAGCATTTGAGAAGATTTTCTTCTTCCATCAGATAGAAAATCAACTATTTATTTCTGTTGATAAATTCTTTGTGAAGAAGGTTGCATTTGTTTCATAGCAATTTCAATATGTTATTCAAGTATACCTTGGTTTCTTCTTAATTATCACTTGGAATATTGACTGTCATTGCCTTTACTTTGTATTTACCCTTTTTATTTATGAAGTAAGGATTTAATGTTGGAGTTGCTTGCCTGTTTCTTGTAACATAAGAGCTGTACTCACTTATATTGTGGCCTTGAATTTTGCCTTTAAGAGTTTCTGCTTCTATTTACTTTTGTTTTTAACCTTCCACCATTATTATTTCATTATCTAATGTTTATCTATTTTTTATATCAGTAGTGATCTCTATTGAAATATGTGGTATTTTTGTCAACCTTTCTTTGACTATGTCCAGGTATTTATCTTTTATATAGGGTTAAAGTAAATTCTTTTTTTTTTCCTTTCCTTCATGCCAAAGAAATGTAATATGTAATATAAGGATTCGTTCCTTGTGAAATATTGTCTTATCTATTCCTAGGATTTTGTCAATAATATTATCCAGTATGGTACATGTTTCTGGAGAATCTGCTATTATACTATTATAATTAGTCATACTTTTTTGTTTGACAATTTGTTGTATAACCCATAGTTTACCTATTTTATTATGCTTTTTTGCTAATGAGATTATGTATCAATAATATCATCTTCTCTATAGTTTATTATCTGAAGTATCTGCTTTGCTTTATTTATGATAGGATATATATGGATTGATATTATTGTTGTATTGTTGTATTGTATTATAGATAGTTATGTTAACAGAGTAATATATGCCCATAGTACTATTTTAGTAATTATTAACAAACTTTTATATGTAATACTTGTTGTTTTTTACTATAACCTTGTTTTTGTATGTATCTTAATCTTGTTTTGATTAGACATGTATTGGTTCTCCTTTTTTGCTTAGATTGTTTACCTGTTTACACTGATTTTGTAGTATTTTTTATAGACTCATGACATCTTGTTTATATTGATCATTTTTTGTTGTGATGGTTATATATAATGATCTTATCAATTTAAGTCGCACTTGTTGTATTGTTGTATTGGACTTTTGTCAAACTTGTTTTGACAATAGCTTTATACACATGTATATGTTTACACTACTCTGGTGATGTTTTTAATGTATATGGAGATGGGGTATATACGTTAAGCTATTTAGACCTTGAGGAGCTTTGATGTTCTTCTGGGTCTTGAAGAATTTGAGATTTGCTTGATTTATCGAGCAAACCTATTTTCTTTAGGATTCCTTGTAGTATCAAGAAAAGTATTAACCTGCACTGATTTCTGACTGTGAATATGTTTATGTTGACCTATTTCCTTCTTTTTAGCAAAGTGAATATAGTCAAGGTTATACTTTATGTTGTGTTTTCCTCAGTGATCTCTAGGCTAGAGCTATGCACGAAGTGTTATTTTCTGTGCTAAGATGTCTACTGTTTATTGATGTTGTAAGAGAGCATGTGTCTTGAGTTATGTGTGTTGTCTCTTTCTTGGGTATATTACCTAAAAAGGAAATTTCTAAGGATCTGAGAGATTTGTGAAGGTAGAAACTTAGCTTTAGTGATACATTTTCCAATATAAAGTATATATATATTTAATAAAGCATATATACCTAGCCTGACAGAGGGTTTAAAAAATGTTAATAGTTGAAAAAGTATTTATTTGAACTATTAATAAAGTCATAAATCACTATCAAAGTTGAATTAAAACTAAGAAGATAAGTAGTTATATAAAAATTAACTTTAAAATATATAGAATATATGTATAATATACAGTAATTCTGGTATAGTCTCAAGGTAAAACTTGGAAATTTTTTAATATTATATTTTCGAAGGTTCTCATCATGGACGACCGGGTTAAATTTTTAGTGTCAAATAGTTGAAATAGCATAACATTGTGGTAAGTTTAGTGTAACTAGCATATTCTCTCCACATATAAACATTAATGCTAGTATCGCGGTATAATCGACCCAAGTCTGAGGATGGTTGAATGGTCGGCAAACTATATACAGTATTTTTAAAGTACTATTAGCGTGACTATGCATTACGAATTAGTAAAAAATATATATGCTTCTCCTATTTTCTACAACATAATCCATTTTTAGACGTCTGGATAGTATGCTATTATTTCTTTTGCACTTGTAGAATTAAATGTATATAGTCACATGACATGAACTGCATGTATCGTCACGGTGGATTATCACCAGCTCGTTTGAGTAGTGAATCCACCAGCAAAGTATACCTTGGTCCTATCCTAGCATTAGGCATAAACCGATTGCATCTGAACAATGGGTAGAAGTGAAGAAATTTTTTCGAAGAGCATATGAAAATCTATCAATAGAGTCAGAATCCTTTATTACAACGCAACCTTACCATTACGTATCGTGTATCTTTTTTTTTCTAATTATTGTATACTGTATGCAAACCAAATTTAGCCGGTCCTTTAGTTTTGCGCACTTCCATATTTAGTAATAAAATAAAGGCGGCGGTGTACTACCTAACTTGAATTTAATGCAGGTCATATGGGATTATAATGTGTTTCAGGTCAAAGATCTTGTCACCTTGATGCACAATAAATTAATGTTACATTAACAAATACGTTATTTGTGCTACGTATGTGTCTACACCTGTTAATTATAAAAAGGATCTAACTTTCAAACTAAAATTAATTGCGTTAATAAAATGAGACACCTGTACATATTTGTCATTTTAGTGGCTACCTTCCTTGTCTCTCCCCAACAAATCGAAGCGGCAACTTGCTTAGTGTGCGATGAAGTACTAAGTGCGTGGAATGGATGCTCCGGCGGATCAAGTACTGAAAATCAACAGACCATGGAGTGTTTCTGCACCTCCTCAAATTTAAATAATTTCAACACGTAAAATCAAATTTCATTTTCCTCACTTTTAGAAAGAACATGAACATGATTTTCAATCATAAATACCATCTTTTATCATCTATAGATGTTACAATTGTGAAGTTCAAAATGGAGATTGGCCCTCTTCATATCCCACTCCATCTCGTAGGTTTTGCATTTTTGCTGCATTCTATTTTTGGAAAATATGAAATTCATAATTTATTTCATTTAACAGAGGTTCAGGCAGCCTGTCAAGGCTATGGATACGGGACAACTAGCATTAATAGTGGCACTGTTCCAACTAGTATTAATAGTGAAACTGTTCCAACTAGTATTAATAGTGATGCTGTTCCATCACAAGGATCAAGTTCTAGTCCAACCGGGAACCCTTTGAAAAAATCATCTGCGGCTACCCGAGTATCACCGCATATAAGCCTGATAATCATTATTGGTGTTATTATCTTGGGATTATTCTTTTAGTTGGATCTAAGTTACTTCATTTTTGTATTTAATAATTTTAATTGTTTTTTTTTACATATTACCAGCATTTTTCCTTTTTTTATAAAAATAAAAAAATAAATCAAAATGTATTGGACTATCAAATTTAGAAATTTCACTTTTGTAGAATAATCATAAAAACCCCTTCACCAGAAAATATATTGTATCTAAGATATAAATGCTTAGAGGTCATCTCCGATTAGTCGTACTATTGTACGCACAAACAGGGCGACTTGATTTTTGCGGCATCAAGTAATAGAATTTGGATCGTAAACAAATGGATGATTTTACACGATAAAACAAGAAAAAAAGAACATCCTCCGCCAAGATTGCGGTTAAGAATTGTACTACACAATTAAAATAAATCCTTACTTAAAGAGGAATTAAAATGGCCAAAAATTTCTCGCGAATTAAATAGGAAAAATTTTATGACTGCACGTTAAATTCGTAGAAACTGATAAATTAAATTGTTGATCGGTCCATTTATGCAAGAAATACCGGTTTTGATTTGTATATACGGATTGAATGCAGTAGACTTATTTTTCATAAATCAATCAGGATCAAATAATACTGTATATAATTTTAAAATATGATATAATATTAAAAATTTATAATATTATAAAGTGCCACGACATTCAGATAATGAATTTGTTATTTTTCAGTTTCAAGTATTTAAATTTATGATATTTAAAATCGACCTAATTTATTTGATTAAGATAAGATCGATTGAAATATCGATTAAATTTAAAATTTATTACTTTATATATTTTAAATTCTATTTTTTTTTAATCTTATATAAATTTAATAATTAAAATAGTTGTTATAAACTAGTGAAAAGGCTGGGCTATGTTTCGGATTTAGTTATTGGAGTTTTATTTTTTAAAAAAATTCTTCTTCTTTTTAATATTTAATGTAATGTATTTTATAAGAAAAAAAAATTTTATTTTTTTTTAATTTATTTTAACTATCATTAAAATAGCATGTAGGTTCAAGCTACTTCCGGTTCAATTGTTTGCTTTTTGTTTTAATTTTTGATTTTTTAAAAAAAATTTTTTTATATTTTATATAAAAATATTTATATATATATATATATTTATATTTATAGAAAAAAATTTTTTTTTTTTTTTAAAAAAAAACTCTTTCTGCAAAAATCTTCAATCGAAAAAAATTTCCTTATAAGGCAATAAAACAAAATTTTAACTAGAAACAAAGTCAAAGCGACTGGGGCTCCTCTCAGGAGTCTCTCTAAGTCACAAGACGAGTTCTCAATACTAGATATTGTGCTCTCAGATGCTTCAATACCAAAAGTTTCAATAGTATATAAACAAAACAAAACTTCAAAAGTATTTTTAACAAAGCCCGCTCAGAAAACTACCATCCCATTTCTTCTAAACTGTTCTGAATCATGGCTTATTCCCACCTGCAACACCAACTCTGATAACTTTAATGTCATTCAAATTAATTTTCTTAAGAAACAAACAAGAGTATTCTCTCCCTCTCTCCAAGTTTCCGCCCAGAAAATAAAACACCTCGATATTGAAACATTGAATGCCTTTATGAATCATCAAACAGGATTCCACCTTGAAAAAGATGATAGAGAGCTTGCTGTTCAGGAAGTGATCAAAAACACCTTAAACTACAAGCTCCATTGGCCTTGGAATCGAATCTCCATATTTACTGATGACAACCTTGGTACTTTCTCTTTTAGAAAAAAGGAAATACCAGCCCTCTCCAAATACTCCAGTAGCACAAAACGATTCTTCTGGTACAACAGAAAATTTCCAAGGAAATCTCCCCCCAATGTGAACTGACACACAAATCATCCCCATAACACAGACCCCATAGACCAGCCAGATATGGAAATAGATGAGCATTACACAAATGACACAAGGAACTCCACTGATGATGCGATCAATACCCAATTATGGGCAGAACAAGTAGACAGTGAAAAAACCCAGCAAGTTTTCAAGGATAATCTGCATCCCACTGCCGCAGATACACAGTTACAAGAGGTCCAGCCTACAATAGAAAGTCCTCTGGCTCAAGAGAGTCTAAACATAACAAAACAAGAAGCCATCAAAGAATCCTATTATAGTATCATATCTTGCGAAAGAAACCCAGAAGCCAT